GAACTTCGGTGCATCTCTAATATATATAATACATATATATATATTTTTGGTCTCCGAATCATTCATGCTTTTTGTTTTGTTTGATTGAATAAAATGATTATATATATATATATATATATATATATATATATATATATATGTGTGTGTGTGTGTGTGTGTGTGTGTGTGTGTGTGTGTGTGTGTGTGTGTGTGTGTGTGTGTGTGTGTGTGTAAATAGCCCCTTACTATACAATAATAATGTCATTCATACTGCGCCATGGCAAACGGCTGAGGCGTTTGCCATGGCGCAGTATTGTTATTACAACGAACACACAGTGTATAAAAACACGTGAATCAAGGCATCACACACTTTTGCATGTGACAGGCGGAGATCTCTTTACATTCGAACATGGACACTGCGTCAACAACGCCAGTCACCTTAACCATTCTACCATCGCGCCATACCCAACATTGTTCAACACTGTTTTGTTAAATATAACAACTCCTAAACAGAACTTGAAATGGGTGTGATTTAATTTTACTTGAAGATGTTTCAGAAGTGAGTGACTGAAGGACACAGTGATGTTGATTGAAAAACTTTCATTGGCTTGCAAGCTGGCAACTTCCGCAGAATGCACTGTACATGATGATGTCCGGCAGTTCTGTATTGTTGTTGGTTGTTGTTGTTTAAGTTAGTGTTGCTGAAGTTTATGTTGTTTAAGTTTATGTTGTTCAAATTAATGTAGCTTTTTTTTACTGTTGTTGTAACTTATCAAAATGAATATTTGTTAATATTGTTTCAAGTTGCAGTAATACATTATTACATCAATACATCAATATAGACAGCATTCCTTAAGTTAGCAAACATGCGGGCGCCCTCAGGAGCATTTGTAGAAAAAATCCGATTGCACATTTTTGCATATGACGGTCGAGACCTCGTGATCCACATACATCTATCTATCTATGGAGCCGCTTGTCTAATCATTTGCCTCATTTCTAATTAGTGCTGTTTACTGGTATTTTTTGCTACTTTTTTAAATAATTTCCAAACGAATGACGTTTTTATTTAATGATGAGGTGTCTAACCATGTTAAATATGCTGTTGGGGTTTTTTTGTGGGTCGTCAACATCGACCGAGTTGGAAGGTGGTGGTGGTTTTTCAATTGTAACATTTTCCATCGCGTCCCTTATTTGCACTGAGGTTCCATTCTTCATGGAGATCTGTTAACATACAACGAAGATATTTCAATGCTCTAACAAAATGATTCTTCCAAAGGAAGGTGTGTCGTTGTTACCTTCATACTGGAGGTGAAGCAACACTGCGGGTTTTTTTCTGCGGATTGTTCAAAGATTGGAATTCTGATGTTGAGATTGAATCCAGGATGCACACCGGGTCCAACGTTGCGCACATCAAAAACGTTCGTCACAGCAAATGTCATGTCCTCCTCAACATCGGCCAGCAGTGCATTTGCTCTTGATCCACTGCAATATTACTTTTCATTTTGCAATGAATTCTAACGAAAAATTTTAATTTAATGAACAACAAACTTGAAAATTTTAATTTCCGAACTGTAAAGAGGTTCTAGATAGATAGATGACTTTTTATCATTGATGAATAGATGAAGAGCGTTGTTCGTGTCAGCTGCATTAGGATGCGATTGCACGTTGAAACTGAAATTAAATCTGACAGATGAGTTGCTCAAGACGGGTCTGTTGAAGTAACATTTCAGTTGCTGGTTGCTCGGGTCAGAGTTCACTTTTTCGCACATCACGTCGTTACAGTCACTTCTTTCGACGATTATCTTATTGAGAAAAAGGAACGTTGGGTAGGAGAAGTCAAACTGAGCATTGTAGGCTGCTTCTCCGACGTTCTCAACGAGGAATGCAGCCTGCAAGACGTCCTTGCTACCGTGCACGTACTCCAACTTGCCGTCCATGCCGTTCAGGGAACGAGGTATCAATCTGGGCTGACACTTCTCCGTGCAATCTTGTGCAAACATTATCTGCGCATATAAAAATTAATTTCACGATAATTCATCAACATCAATAGTTGGAACAATTGAAGGATAGAACGTGTAGACATAATTTTTAAAATTAAACTGGTTGAGGATGTAGGTAGATAGATGAAATACCGCATTAGAATAGCTGGTGTTGTTGGAACTGAGTACGGAGTTGGAAGTTGAAAGTTGCGTGAGGAACCAGGTGACATCAAACGTTACTCCCTTCTTGATGTTCTGTGGCTGGGCCTGTTGAGATTCGTTTGTGGCCGTTTATTATTTTTCAAGTTTCACATCCATTAAAACTTAATAGTTGTTTTGTTTTTAGAAAATTAATACAACCTATTTATTTGTTGGGAATCTAGTTCTGATGTGTTCAGTTTGATAGTTACTAATAATAGCAGTTAATAGATGTTTTCAGTCGAAAACAATGAGTAAATAACAGTTAACACTAAACTTCTAACAAAATATGTGAATGAAAAATAAACAAGTTAGTGTTTCAAAGTAATAATCATAAAACAACAAAACTGCTGAAAACTGTTAGTTTCTATTTATGATAAGTCAGTAAATGTTAGCCATTGGCTCATAATTGAGGATTAAAGTTTAGATATTTCTTAATATTTTTTGTAATTTTTATGTTTGAAAAGTACTCCCTAGCTACGGCCACGAAAAGCTGTCGTCAATAAAATAAAATCAATGTAGCTGACGTTGATGGGAAATGTGATGTTCCACTGATGACTGACTCGTTTCTCCTGCCCGCACGTTTCTCGAAAGTTGATGAGGCCTTCGACCGTCTGGACCTTCTCATTGGAGTGGTAACCGCGCCGAAATTTTGAGTCAATTAACAAGGTGTATGCTGAATAACAATGGAAATAAATTTTTACAGGTTATTTTTTATCATCGTAAAATTTGCTTCTTATTAAATGAGCTAGTGCATTTTTTATAAAATTAAAAAATTTGAAGCCACGTTAGAAGCATTATCTCAATTAGTTGAAAATTAAAAATGTAATTAATTTTTATTTTAATAGTGGATTCTTGTTGCAACTCCATACTTTGCAATCAACGATCAATCACCATGCCTTGCATAATATCAAAGATTTTTAAAATGCATGTGCTCATTCAAATAAATTACCGATAATTGTTTGATAAAAATAACATTGCAACTTTAGGATCGTTTCATATGAATTGTTTAATGACAGCAAACAGTTGAAATTATGAACAAACATTAAACTAATTATTTTTAAGTCACCAAGTTTCTAACCTATGACCGGTGCGCTGTCAGAACAGGAATCTAAAAAGAAGACGTCAATAAAATAAATTACAAACGATTTCTTGATGAGTTTCAAATTATTTCATGCATTTGAGATAATTTTCTAATTTGTAACTTAATTTCACGCAAGAACATTCTGGTTGAAACTTAGAAACTAAAAAGTTTTCAAACTTCGACGACGATAAAAGCCTGCCTCCAGGATTAAGACTTTTTAGGATTAGGATTAGGATCAGGATTTTTCAAAATATTTATCTTAGCAACCACAGTGAAAAGTAATCGCTAAAAATTCATTCACTAAAACACAACAAAATGTCAGAGAATAAATTTGAAAAGCTTCAAAAAACGACAACTATGTTGGAGGCCTACCTGCAATTTGTCGTTCATGTCCGTAAGTGAAATATTCAAAGTTGAGATTGATGGGGAGGATGGTTTCCTGGTTGAAAGATTTTGTGCACTGCAAATGGTTCCACATAATTCTATCTTCTTGAAATGTTACACTCACATTCACCTGATGCACCAACTTCGATTTCAAACGCACCACCATGTTGGACTTGTGAGCTCCCACCAACAAACCTTTTCAAATAGTAACATTTCTTTAAAAAACGTCAACAACCTGAGACGAGTTGCATGTTTTGTGAATTTTAAAACAATCTTCCAAAAAAGAAATAAGGCAAACCCACCTGAATAGCCCAAGTCATCAAAAGTCTGTGCCAGTGAATAACCGAAACCATTAAGGTTGGCATTGATGGAAGACGCCACGATTCGTTGACTGAATTGTACTTCAAAGGAATCCTGGCTTCCCAGGAACAAATAAACAACTCCTGTCTCTTCGTAAGGAGCGCTAATGGCAACATCTGCAATTCAATTATTCATCACTATTCTGACTTTTCAACACGTCAGTTTCTTATGTATATTAATAATAATTTATTTTTTTATTTATTCATTCATTCATTTCTAATGTTTTCTTAAGAAGCTTTTATTGCATTAAATCTTTTTAAGTTTTGATGCAAAAAAAGAAAATGATTTGTGTTGAGTCAAAAGCGTGTCGAAGTCAAGAGTCGAAGGCAAAAAATATTGCCAGAAGTCGGAAAAATTGTCATCTGAGTCCGACTTTCTGGTGACTGACATAGTAGGCCATTTAATTTTGAGTAATGCAAGGGCTACGTACTGTCACCATGCTCTCCACTAATTATTAGTTATTAGGTTTTAATATCGGGTTTACAAAGTTGGTATATGTGTCTATTCACTACAATAAATTCAATTTTGTTGGAAAACATTGAAATATTGATAAAAATATTACTGAAAACGTAAAACCAACCTCTATACTTATCCCAGTTGAGGTCTCCAATGTCTACCATGGAAGAGCCAAACCTGGACCAGGCACGACGACTTCCATGCAACTCAACCACCTCCCTGCTCAATGTACCCTACAAAATAAAAGTAAACAATGGATTAAAAATAACAACTTAATTAACAGCGTTAGTTTCAACAAGATGGTGAACCAACATTTGCGTGGAATGAATAGACGTAGACGATTCCTTCATCGTAGTTTTTTTCGCTAAAAAGAGGAGCTCCGACCAGCAACTCGTCCCTTCCATCCCCGTTGACGTCCATCCCAAGCAGGGACGACCCGTAATATGAGTACCTACTCCTTGGATGCTTTGTCTATAGTAGAATATTTTGTAGATTATATCACGTGATAATTAGGATCAACGTCACTAGCCAATTACAAATTTTTATTAAACAAAATATCG